GTTATAAAGATGACTGGTTATGTATATGCCAGATTAAGACCAGGCACACAGAAGGTGACCAATAAATAGATCACTATTCCTGCCTCAGAATGGCTTTAATTTCTATGTGAGGACAAAGGTAGAAAGCTAGAACACTGCCATGGCAGGTAAAGCCAGCACTAAATGAAAGCTGGTCACCTCCTCTTCATTCTGCTCCTCTCCTCTACTTTGTCAGTTCAGGCCTCATCTTTCTCACCGGTATTATCACAACAGTGTCCTGAATTGATCTTCATGCATGTAACTTGCATGCTCACCACACTTGTCCTAAAGCACAAACTTGATCATATCAATCCTTTATTTAGCATCCTTCGATGACTCTTCACCACCTCCATGATAAAATGCATACTCATCAGCACCAGGCCCTTCCCAACCTTATCTCTTGGGATGCCCTACTCCTGACCCCCACCACATAAATTCTCATGTCCAAGCCACATCATAGTGTATTTGTTATTTCCCAATTGCTCCATGCTCTCATGCTTCCAAACCTATCTAGAATGTTCTATCACTGATGAGCCCTCTCCATTCTTAAAAACATAGCTGAAACATCACCTTCTCTTCAAAGCTTTCCCTGACCCTAGAATTTTCTTTGGTATTCCGAAGGCCTTTCTTCATACTACATTTGCAAGCCGTATCCTAATTTTGCGGGCCTTGTTTCTGGCAGCTCTAGCCCAACTGTGACATCAGGCAAGGGACAGGATTTATCTATCATTTTCGTATTATTCCCAGTGCCTAACACAGTTTGTAAAAAATACATTTTATTGAAAATATTTTTGTGATAAGTTTAATATTGTTTGCATTAATATCAACAATCTGAAAGACTAAAAAACAAAACTGTCACTATAAAGTATTTCTAGAAACTATTGAGATTTTTTTTTAATCCTATTAATTCCAAACATAAAGAGATTTTTAAATGCTGTGATAAAACTCATACAAATGCACATATTGGAAGGTACATCAGGCCAAATTATCATTAAAAAATGAAATCTCAGTATTATAAAACCTGAAGAAAATTTCAACCATAAGGAAGGTATGACTTTTGACTACGTTCTCACGTTCAATAGATTAAAAAATAAAACCCAGCAAAAGTAGTCTTTTAGATAATGGTAAAATACTTATTTTGGGGTGTTCTTTTTAAAAAGGCATGTTTCATCTTGGCTGAGAACAAAAGCAGTGGGATTATCTTACGGGTTATGCATATAATTTTCTTTTTTTTTGGATTTAAAAAATTATTTCTTATTTTCAAATGATTTAAACCTTTTACAAAAATATAACAGTCGGGCAAATTTGCCTCCACCAACTATCACAAAAATTAACTTTGTAGTTTATATAATCCATAACTATTACCTACAAAAATCTATAAATACTGAATAATAGAGAAATCAAAAATATCACTTTAGGTAATACACCCATTTAAAATTGAATCCATTTCCATGGAGAAAGGAAAAAATACACAGTAGCATTTGGTATAAAAGGAAGAGCACTAATTCAGTTCTTTTTCAAAAATGTTAAAACATGTGATTTGTGTTTTTTTAACTTCCAAATATAACTCACTGTATTTAGCACCTTCTGTACTTTCCAGTATATTAGATAATTGCATACCAAGTTAAAAACAAAATAAAGGAAAACATTTCTGCCACCCACCATTTTCATTAAAAAAATGGAAGTATTACACAAACACACAGAGCACCTCGTAAAGGTTGGTATGACTAGCCCCCCAGAAAACTGTTTTTTATAAATTTTAAAAATTTGAGGATTTAGGGGACATGGGAGAAGAGGAAATGAGAATTATGTGATTATTGGTTTTAACACAAAACGTGAGCTAGTAATTTTCAAATTCAGTTCTAGAGAACCATGGAGGTGTCTCAAAGGTTGCAGATCCTGAACCCCACATCAATTAGAGAAGCTCCATATTTTTTGTCCATTTATAGACTGAACTACCAAATATCTCATTTGCACAAAAATCTCCATAACTTTTAAAAGTCTGAAAAATCACTGAGAAGGATTAGCCAATGACAACCGTGGATAATATTGATATTAGCACCTAATAAATAAAAATACAAACAGAAATGTTTTATATGGAAAAATGTTTTACAAAGTGGTAAAAACATTAAGAAACAGGCAAGACTAGTATTTGTAGTTACTTTATCAATAAGTTTATTCTGCTTCTCATCAGTTTTATCAGGCTACAGTTTGTAAAGGGAAGGGACATGTAAGTTAAGCTTTTTCAACTTGCTTTTGGAAGAAAGACAGTAGATGATTTCAGCAGCGAACTGGCTGTGAACCCAAAGCAAAGATTTTTGGCAGGGTATGACCAAGCTGAGAGGCGACATTAGTGGGTATGTTTGTTTAGATAAAGGGGAGGTGGCCCATATAATGTTGGAGTAGGGTACATAGCTTTTCTACATTGGAAAATCTGCGTAAGAAATGATATCTATTCCCAAGAACACTCCTGATTCTTAACATCTTACTCTCTCCTATGCTTCTACTTCCACACTAATTAAGGCCATCAAAAATAAGAAATAGTACTTAACTACAGTAATTTATGAAAAGTCACTTTCTAAGTAAATCAGACTATTTAGAACTCAGCCATTCTATATGCTTTGTTTTCCATGATGAAAAAACTACAGAACTAAAAGCTTCCTTGCCAGTGACCTGATCCACAATACCAGGAGGAAGCTGTGACGGACTCATTTCTTCCATTATCTCTCTTTCCTCAGCCCCTAGTATGAGTGGTTGAGATTGTGACTGAGAAAAGAATAAAGTACCAAAATCATCTAACAAGAATCCTATTTTTTTCCCACACTAAAATGCTTGTGTAGCTTATGAAATGATGGTCGATTTTCCTATTTGCCAAACTTTCTATAATGTGGAACATTGTTTCTTAAAGCTTATTACTTTACAATAGAGAATGTAATTGCGTCTCTCCACATTGATTCATTAATTTGAAAAGATCAAGATAAAAAAAAAAAAAAAAAAGGCTGTGCACGGTGGCTCACGCCTGTAATCCCAGCACTTGGGGAGGCCAAGGTGGGCAGATCACTTGAGGTCATAAGTTTGAAACCAGCCTGGCCAATATGGTGAAACGCCATCTCTATTAAAAATACAAAAATTAGCTGGGCATGGTGGTGAGTGCCTGCAATCCCGGCTACTTAGGAGGTTAAGGAGGGAGAATCACTTGAACCCGGGAGGCAGAGGTTGCAGTGAGCCAAGATCGCGCCACTGCACTCCAGCCTAGGCAACAGAGCTAGGCTCTTGTCCCAAAAAAAACAAAACAAACAAACAAAAATCAGAAAAAAAAAAAAAAAAAAAACTACATTAACTGGCATTTGCATTTTGAAATCAAACCATATGACTACTCATTGATAGAAACAATCCTTTCCATTTGGCTAAAAACTAAAAATCAAAAGTCAATGACAATAATAATAATGTTAACTACTTTTAAAAAAGGAACATTTAGTTCTTAACATAAGTTCCTAATATCAGTAACATTTAGTTCCTAATATCAATGGATACTCTTTTGAAAGTTCAGAAATAAAAACAATGCTAGTTTGTTCTAAAACATGGGAAATTCAAATGTCATACATCTACTCTCCAAACTTTGGTACCTTAATTATTTATCATGTAACTGACCCATCCAACAAGATATTAAGAATCACAATTCTAGTTTCTTCTCTATGGTAAAACTACGGTAAATGAAAAGCAATTCTATACCTATGATAGTATGCCAATAAAATACTGACACCTGCAAGAGAAGTACAGAGACTCAGAGAAATGACCTACATACAAGACCGTACAGACTTTCCTATGCTATTTTCTGGACTTAGAGACAAACCAGGCCAAGTTCTAGTGGTTTATTTTCTCAAACTAGACACAATATGCAAACTATGTATAAGTTATGTATTGATATTAATTTCCTCAAAAGAAGATCTGATACAAAACATCTAAAGCCATAACAACTTTAAGTTTTTGCAAGATCCCAAAATGTCTTCTTGCTCTGAAACTAGTATTTGACAGACTAACACATGAGCTAGATGCTTGAATCCTTTTTAGTATAAGGCAACATATAAATTTTTAATGTATTTATAACAGATTTTGATATTCTATACTTTCAACAAAGTATCAAATTTTCATCTGACTGCAACTCCTTCCTCTTAAAATATATATTGATTACAGTACATTTATATCATTAAAATCATTACTAAATATACAATATAGGCAAGAGTAATCATATTTGTGTTTTTATACGTAACAATTATTTTCTGATTATAAAATCTATCTCTTCAAAGAAATAACCACACACTGGTACATTTTTCTATTTTTTTAAACCAAGATAAAACTAAGCTTATCCTTGACATATATATAGTTTTTAAAAACTGGGATTTTTTAAAAAAGTGATTTCTACATATCTTTCTAACCAATATGCATTATCAGAGGAGATGCAATTCATGACTTGTACCACCTGAGGGCACTCCTAAAATCTTTAAAAAACCAAGAATCACATTTTTACCTACTAGGAAAAAGACCTAGTCCTACTTCAAGTTCATGGTTTGAAAAACAACTTTCAGAAAACATGTGTTTCTTTACACAAAGATGATAAATAAGCATAATTCCTATCCACTGCATAGTCTCTGGGCTTCATGTACTCTCAACAAAAGTGTTTCTGAAGCAGGATGAAACACATCTAAATACTTCAAATAAAAGGGTTACAAATTAAAGAGAACTAAACAACTCACAGGACTGTCTTTCTAGATTATACATTTATCATCAGTAAAAAGTTGGTATTTCTATAGAAAATAAAAATTCAAGAACTACTTCAAATATATACAAGATCTAAAAGTTAACAAAAAGATTTGCTCTTTAACATATACACGGCACTTCAGATCAAGAATACAAGTAAACCTTCAGTTTTGCTTTGTCTCTGGAAAAAGAAAGAAAATACAAGTAAACCATGGGCACCTTACCTGTTTCCTGTGAATTTAACACTTCTAAGGCATGCATCATGGCACTTGCGAAGACATTGGCATCCTCTTTGCTGCCAAAGTTGAGACCATACACCTGTCTAGCATCTCGCCACTGGTGGAAGGTCTGTGTAGCTTGATTGTACTTCAATCCTTTAGGAATGGCACAATTTATCACGACCTAAAAAATAGTAAGTCTTTATAAAGTCAAACCAATAATTGGCAAAGTCAAGGATGTCAACAAATGCTGACTATATATTCATTCAAATATGTTCCTAATAGACCTTGACAAAAATGGTTTAAACAATTATCTAGGGTAAAATCTACAGAAATATCAGTCTGATAGAAGTTAAGCTTTTTGCTGATTACAAAGGTCTGCCATAAAACAGTAAATCAGCAAAACAAAACAAAACAAAATCTATTTTCCTCATTAAATATATTTTAACTTGTTTGCTGAAGTTTTACAAATACAAAAAAGTATACACAACATAAAAGTGTATCTGTGAATGTTCACATGAAGTCAGTACCCTAATTAAGAAATCAAACAGCAACACCAGAAGCCTATCTTCTTAATTCCTCCCACCTCCCAAAAGGTACTAGCCACACTTCTAACATCATAAATTACTACATTTATATGAAATCCAAAACCAACGTATCAATCTGAGGAGGGTCTTGAGTATCTATAGGGGTCTTAAGTATCTTTCATTAGATTTATTTTCTATTATTAATCAAGTTTTGTAGGTTTTTAGATTTTTATAAAAATGGAGTTACACAACATGTATTATAACGTATCTGCTCTCTTATCCTCAAAATTGTTTGTAAGAGCCATCCACTTGTTGCATGCAGCTGTGGTTTGTTCATTTTCATTGCTGTATGGTAGTCCTTTGTATAAATCATGCTTATTTAAGCATTCTCCCATTAATGAACATTTAGATTATTTGCAGTTTAGGTTATTAAAAATTGTGATGTTATGAACTTTCTACTGCATGTCTTTTGGTACAAACAAGCATTCATTTTTGTTGGGCATATACCCAGGAGTGGAAATATCACAGGACATGTGTATGTTCAGCTTTAGTAGAAAATTCCAAGTAGCTTTCCAAATTGGTTCTAGTAATTTACACTTCCACAAGAGTATACAAGAGCTTGTGCTACTTCCACATAACTATGCAACATTACAACTGGTACTATCAGTCTTTATTTTAGCAATTCTGGTGGGTATGAATGCTTTATCACTGCAGTTTTAGTTTGCATTTCCCTGATTTTTATTAGCTATCTAGATGTCTCTTTTTGTGAATATCTGCTTGAATTAAGTCTCTTGCCCATTTTTCTCCCGAGTTGTCAATTTTTTTCTTCTTTGATTTCTAAGCCCTTTATATATTCTAGATATGATATCATTGTTGGTTATCTATGTTGCATATATCTTATGCTATTCTATGAATCACCTTTTCACTCTTAACGGTTTCTTGATGGATTTAAGTTCTTCACTTTGATTCTGTTCAAATTAGCAATCTTTTTCTTTATAGTTACTGCTTTAGTGCTGTTTAAGAAATGTTTCTCAATCACAAGGTCATGAAAATATTGTCCTATATTATCTTGCAAAAGCTTTATTATTTTACTTTTCACATTTCTATCCCCAATCCAGCTGGAATTGGTCTGTGCCTATGGTGTGAGGTAGGGATCAAGTTTGCTATTTGTTTCAATATGGCTGTAAAAATGATCCAGCACTATCAATGTGCTACAGGTTTGCCTGCAGCACATAAATTAAGTGTCTATGTGGCTCTATTTTCTCCTACAGATCAATATGCCTTTTTGCCAACTCTACAATGTCTTAATTGTTGTAGCTTTATATGAAATCTAGATGACCATTAGAGTGTGTCTTCCTGTTTCATTCTTCAAAATTGCTTTGGCTCTTCTTAGTCCTTTGTGTGTAGCTAGTTTTACATTCTGATTATCAGTTTCTATCAAAGAAATTTTGGGGACGTTGAGGTTGCATGAAAACTAACATATCAATCTGAGGAGGTTCTTAAGTATCTTTATGGGGGTCTTGAGTATCCTTCATTAGATTTATTATTTTCTATTATTAATTGAGTTCTAAGTATTAGAATCTTTTATTATTCCTAATAATTTACATTAAGGTTTTTTCCTCTAAATACACAACCATGTAATCTGCAACTGACAGCTTTATTTCTTCCTTTCCAATCCATGCACGATGTATTTATCTTCATACACCTACTAGAAATCACACTACAATGCTGAAAAAAAGTGTTCATAACAAGTATCTTTATTTCCTGATTTTAGAAGGAAAGCTTTCTCAATTAAACCGTTAAAAGTATGATCTTTCACACCAGGCGAGGTGGATCACGCCTGTAATTCCAGCATTTTGGGAGGCCGAGGCAGGTAGATCACTTGACGTCAAGAATTCAAGACCGGCCTGGCCAACATGGTGAAACTCCAGTCTCTACTAAAAATACAAAAATTAGCCAGGCGTGGTGGCATGTGCCTGTAATCCCAGCTACTTGGGAGGCTGAGGCAGAAGAATCACTTGAACCTGGGAAGAAGAGGTTGCAGTGAGCTGAGAGTCTGCCACTGCACTCCAATCTGGGCAACAGAGTGACACTCTGTCTCAAAAAGTAAATAAATACATAAATAAATGACCTTTCATGTAATAATCTTATTGATACCTTTTATCTGGGGAGAAACCCTCCTATTACTTGACAGCTAAGGGTTTCCATCATGATTGAATACTGCATTTTATCGAGTGCTCCCCAACATACCTTGAGGTGACTGGCTCTTCTGTTTTTTATGCAGTTAATTACACTGATTATTTTCTAGTATTCAACCAACCAACCTTACATTCCTAGGATAAACAACATTGGTCCCCACATATCAATTTTTATAAATCTCTAGATTTGTTTGATAGTCCTCTGTTTGAAATTTTTATATCTACTTTTATGAATGAGATTAACCTCACTATTGTATTCATGTATTCATTGTATTAATGCCAGGTTTTGACAGCAAAGTAATGCTGGACTTAAAATGAACTGGCACTGTAGAGTTGGCAAAAAGATAGGCATCCTCTTTGTGTATTCTCTGGAAAAAAGTATGTAATATTGGTGTTCTTTAGTTGTTAAAGGTTTGGTTGAAAAGGACACCACCAGTAGAGCCAGCTAAACGAAGTTTTTCTTCCTTTTACTTCTTTTCATCATAGTTTTAATTTCTTTAAAGTGTTTTCCTAAGAATTTCTACATCTACATTTTCAAAATTACTAAAATAAAGTTGCTCAAAATACCCCCCTTAATCACTTAAATGTCTCTAAGATTCATAGTGATGTCGCTTCTTTCTTCATAATGGCTATTTAAACCATTCTCTTTTTTTTCCCCAAGAGCTGTCCCTCACAAGGACTTCAGAGACAAACCTCTCCTTAGTGTGTTTCCTTTCTGCTGCATTAATTTTGGCTCTTATCTTTATTGTTATGCTCTTTCTATTAATATTTTATATGGCTTTAATGGTCTATTCTTTAATTTCTTGAGATGCATCCTGAGTCTGGCTGAAAAGTCAACAATACTTATTTTCCAAGATAACATTTCAGTCTCTAAATTTCACTTTAATCAGAAGTTTAGTAGCATTCTACTGGTGTTAATATGTGGCATGTTCATCATTATTTAGCTCAACTAATTTTTCTTATTTCGTTGTGATTTCTTCTCTGTCTCATGGACTATTCAGAAAGGTATTTCTTAACACCTACACCTATGGGATTCTCTATTATCTTACTTCCAGATTAATTCTGCCGTGACCACACACTTTGTATGATTTTAATCCTTTGAAATTTGTTGACACTTTCTTTAGGGCCAAGCATACATACAATTTTGAAATTGTGACATGTACATTTGAAAGGTATGTGGTATATATGCCAATTAGGGTAGGGAAGTAATTGTATTGTTCAAACCTTCTATATATTCTTACAGGCCTTTTTTTCTGACTGCCTGTTCCATCAGTTACTAACAGAGGTAAGTTAAAGTCTCCTGCTGTGATTCGTACATTTGTAACCAGAACAAGAGAAACTTTGACACCTCTGGTTCCAAAATGGCAGCGCAGAAGCAAGCTATGGCAAGAATCGCAATTACTTTTGCATCAACCTAACAGTTCTCTACTCTCCCCGCCCCCCCCAACAAAACAAAATCAAGTACACAGCATTAAAATTATCACCAGCAATATCCCACAACTTAAATAGGAGTAGGACACAGTTCCTGGAGACACAAAGAAATAAAAAAGCTCTCAGCAGACAGTAAGATAATCAGACCTCCATATCCACAATGCCCCTCCACACAGCCTGCTGGCACCAAGCATGCAGAAATCTTCCCCCAACTCACGCCTTCTACACTGGAAAAAGTGAGATCAAGATAAACAACAAACTTTTCCACCATCTTGGGTTCATGGCAAAAGACCCATCTGTCATCTCAAACCATGGGAAGCACTGGGAGTTCCAGAAGGGAGAAATATCCCTAAGAACAGCCAGAGACAAAGTGGGGAAGCAGGACTAGCCCAGAAAGTCTGCTCTGTAACTTGGCCAAAGGAGACACTGAGTCCAAGTGGCTGTTCAGCAGCACCATGCTGTTGGAGGTTTGTTCCACAGGTCTCCTGGGCATGAATCCCTAGCCAGCCTTCCCACACTACCAGGACATCCCCATTGGGACCTCCTCAATTTGGGATGGGTAGCACTCTGATTGTTTACTAGAACCTAGGCAAATCTGAACTTTTTTTTTTTTTTTTTTTTTTTTTTGAGATAGGAGCTACCCCAAGGCTGAAGGTAGCTCATGCCTGTAATTCCAGCACTTTGGGAGGCCAAGGCAGGTGGATCACTTGAGGTCAGGAGTTCAAGACCAGCTTAGTCAACATGGCAAAACCCCGTCTCTACTAAAAATATAAAAATTAGCCAGGCGTGGTGGCACACGCCTGTAATCCAGCTACTTGGGAGATTGAGGCAGGAGAATCACTTGAAACAGGGAGGCAAAGGTTGCAGTGAGCTGAGATCAAGCCATTGCACTGCAGCCTGGGTGACAGAGTGAGACTCTGACTCAAAAAAAAAAAAAAAAAGATTAAAACGTTATGCACATTTTACTATAACGTAAGGCTGGAGTGAAGTGGCTATTCACAGGCACAATCATAGGACATGACAGTCTT